TAATTTTTTCAAGGGAGTTTTAATGAAACACTCCTGGTACTATTCACTTTTAAAGAAAAACCACATTTTTACCTTTTCCTGATACTATTAACTACACCTTTATTTGTCATTTTTCATTAAAACTAAAGTTTTTTTTTTTAACTTTTCGTTAGTTTTTCTTTTTTTCAATACTCAATTACTGAAATAAGCAAGTATTTTGTAGATGGTTAATTTAGTGCCATATGTCACAAACTTGGCTAATAAATGTCATATTTTGACCTATATTACCTAATAAATATAGGTATTTTGACCAATTTGATTCGAGAGAGGATCCTGGAGATCCTCCAATCATATCCGTTTATTGTACATCGTGAGACCAGTTTTTGTCAGGTACTGTTTATATTCAATTTTAAATTAAAAAAAATTACAATGATTTATGACTGCACGATGTACGATGAATTGATATGATTGGAGGATCCCCAAAATCCTCACAAACAGGATCCGGCGAGAATCCTCTTGGATTTAAATCAGGTATTTGGTTAAGTTCAAATTTGATAATAATAAACTCCACTGATTTATTTCGATTTGGAATACTTAAGATTCATTTTACATATATTAAAATAAACGATTAAATTAGTACCCGTTTATAACTACGAGTAATACCTATAACCACTCATTTAAATTTCATCGGTAAATGGTTATGCTCATAACCGCTTATTTGTTTAAACTGTTAATCATAACCATAATCGTGAATTTTAAATGGGTGGGTAACCACTGTTACCCATACCCGTTGGTATTCTGTCCATCCCTAATCACATATATCACTTAGTACTATAGTCTAGTGGTATTCCTTAGGGGTGGGTTCGGTTCCTTTTGGTTCGGTTTTTGGTCGAAACCGAAAGCCAAACTGAAATTACTGTTCGGTTTGGTTTGGTTCGATTTTTCTTCTATTTTGGGTTTTTTCGGTTCGGTTTTAGTCCAGTTCGATTTTTTCCATGATTTTTTTTTTTTTTTTTTTAAATCTGGAGGTAGCCAAAGAAGAACCCAGAAGAACAAAGGAGGAATTGTTGCCATCTTGGTCTATCACATAGCAAAATCCCAATAAGGAACCGAGCTTGCTCTTCATTCTTCATAGATTTCAATTGGTTTTCTTTTCTCACAGACAAATCATCAAACAATAATTATAAAGAAAATCTGAAGGAAATCTGCTACCAACAAATCATCAAACAATAATTATAAAGAAATATGTTCTTGCTTTGTTCCCAAGATCCCTCTTTTGCATCGGGAATAAAGATGGTGGATTGGGGGCAGCTTCCTCTCCTTGCTGCCAGATTGAAAGATTATAATATGCAAAACCCTAACAAAATAATTAAAAGAAAAACCCATTTTAATTCAACAAAATCACAATATAAATCATATTCGTTTTGATTTGAAAATTACCTGTGAAAAATCAGAAAATCAGGATTAGAATCTTCCAATTTAGATGGGTTCTGATTCGAAGGGGGCGAGGGAAAATCATGGTTTGGAAGAAGGAATCTGCGAGGAGGACAAGAGAAGATTGGAGATAAAGTGATTTGGAGAAAGAGAGGAAGGAGAAAGAGACTAAGGAACAGAGGAAGCATAGACGAAGAAAGTAGCGGAGGGGAGAGAAAGAGTGTAGAAGAAAAGTGAAAACTGAAATGGAAGTCGGCTAGGGTTTGTAAACTTCAGAAATTTTATAAATGCATAAAGATTAGAGTGCCTATAAATAACTTAGTTGTACAATTATAGCAACACAAAGCCAACAACAAGTTGGTTTGAAGCAACTATCCGAACCTAGAGGGAAGGGTTCGAATCCTCAAGCCACTAGGTTTTGAGGTAAATGTATATGATTTTCATATATCGGTTCAGTTCGATTTGGTTTTTTCCGGTCTCGGTCCGGTTTTTTTCGGTTTTCGATTTTTCCAACCCACCCCTAGTATTCCTCTTGTAAGTAAGAGGTATTAGGTTCAATTCTCGTCAAAAGCGAATTTGAACCATATTATTGTTAGTCCATTGTGAGGTTAAGGCAACTCTATCTCCTTTAGTATAGATAATATCGTTTATTCGAAAAAAAAAAATTGAAAAGAAATTGAAAATTTAAAAAACTATTCTTTTTAACAAACAATAAAATATCTATATTAAGCTAAGGAGAAGGAATTTCGAACACGAAACCTCAAGTACAAGAATAAATTCTTTTAATCAACTAAACTACAAGCTTAGTATTCAAAACTGTATTTATAAAATATACGATTTGCCCGTGCCGCAGCAAATACGATTTGCCCTTGGATATGCTATAGTAGGACGAAAAATATATAATCAAATTCGGCGCTTTTGACCACCTTTTCTCGATCGATATTCCTTTCTTCCTTTCTTCCTTTCCTAAGTGTTAAAACCCAATAGATGGAAGTAGCAGTCTTCGTAGACACCAACTTGGGCACTCGCATAGCCATGGATGTCTCACCAGATATCACAGCAACAGACTTCAAAAGTAAGCCAAAAAAAAGTTAAATTCGTTCCAGTTTTTGAATAATTGCTTTCTTTAGATATATGCATCTGTAGGTTCTCTTCTTTGGAATATCTTTCTCTCTTTCCAAAACTTGGATCACCTTTGGAATCTCAATGTTTCAATCTTCAATCTTCTGAGTGTCTCATAAAACCGTAAACCCTAACCCCCAAAATTAGATATAATTTTCATAACTTCAGTTCAATCAACACAATGGCCGAAAGCTAATGAATATTCCATCAAAATGCGAGGAATTAATAGCGTCTGTTGTAGGATTTAGCTTCGTGGTTACGAAGGATTCTCAGGCTTCTTCTTTTGGGTATAACTTGTTTCCCAATCTTGTACAAAGCAGCGAACTGTTTCCTTTTCGTTTGTTTTCCTTTTTTCTTTTCTTTTATGTCCAGTTAGTTAATGGCGTGATGAAGTTATTGAACTTAAGTGCAGCTTCTAACATCCTCTAATTTTCTGCCTTTGTCCATTTACGCAATGGTAATCATTGCCAATTCTGTTTTGTAGGGGAACTTGAGACACAGCACTTCAGTTGTTTCTGGAAATTAGGAGAGATCCGAGTTTCTGGATTGATGGTGCATTTCATGTCGTGATTTGTACTTGTTTCCTCTTCCCCTGAACTAATCATTGGTTAATTTGTGGTTCTCACTGTGCACTGCATTTGTTTATTAGGTCAATCGAAAATCATGCCTGTATCGCCTGCCTGATTCAATGAGCATGAAGAGTGCTTTCCAGGGAGTGAATGGAACATGGTTTCTTCATGTAGAAGCAAGACTTCTGTTAAGTGATTGCAATAGGCCATGTTTACACAAGTACGCGGCCTCAAAAGTTGGCGATCATTTGAATTCAGAGAGTTTTGTTACAAGCACGGCTGCTATTAGTAATACAGAAGGCAATTATAAGAGGTCGAGCAAAAAAATATTTCAACGTCACAAGCCTCTACTAGGAAAGCTCAGAAGACCTTTTTACTTTTCAAAGAAAAAGAAGAAAAGAAAGAAGACGCTTCCAGACTCTGCATATGTGAATGAAGCCGGATCCACCTCGTAATCATATCCATCTCCTCTTCTCTTCCGCTCAAGGCTCATCAGCCCCAATCCCGCAGGTGGATGCAGCTCTTGAAAAAATCTCTGCAAAAACTGATAACCCTGTTCTTTGCTCCCGCACCATCCTTCCCTTTGAATACAGTGCTGCCGACCCTACCAGCACGCTTCAGATAAAGATTAAAGCATGCTTGAACCGCATGCAAGAGGCCCTCGCCCAGTTCAAGAAGCTGGATGGCCTTGCGTCAGATATGTCGACTGTCCAAGTATGCCAAGAAGAATATGAATCTGCAGTAGATGACCTCAATGGTGCTACTGATGCCATTGTCCCATTGTCACACACGATGTCGGCACAATACAAACAAGGCTTAGCGGAGTAAATACCTATTTGGGCACATGTGATGATGCCGTCGCTGAGTCCTGGGGGTTCAAGTTGGCCTTCAACTTCAAGGATGAGGATGTTGTTGCATTGCGTAAGTTGGCTAGCAATTGCATGGCCATCTCAATATTGCTCCATTAAAAAACCTTAATTGGGGAGGGGGATGGAATATATGGGATGTCCTATTTTGAAAATTGTTAAATAGTTCAAACATATCATCATAAATTCAAAGGATTTTTGCTCCCAATATTAGTTAACAATAACACTATTTCGTTACAAAATTGATAAAGAGTGACTTCACTATTGTATATGAAACCGACCTGTACTAAATGAATGCGTCTAAGAACATACCCTTTAGTAGTTATTCATCCATTTTCCTATAACAATCTCTCCTCTCAATATGAAGTGACACTCAAGGAGGAAAAAGAAGAGAAAAGAAGAATCAAAGTGAAACACGATTGTAGCCATAAAAATATGGGCAATTAGCAGAAATGGTCAATTTTTGACATTTGATTGCCAAAATGATTAGTGTTTATTATGTCTTCAATATATCATTGTTATGCTATTGTTTTATGTCATCTCACTACAAAATGATCATTTCTACAACCAAAAGTCAAAAACTGATCATTCATGCTAATTGCCCTAAAACTAAAAGGGAATCCATTTTTTTTTTTTTACTTTGGGCAATTTAGTCCATGGGAGGTGCGAGTAATAAATGGAACTCGGTGGAGGTGCAATTCAACAAACGTTAGTTTGTGTGCTGAGGGCGGGGCGGGGCGGGGCGCGTGCCTAATGAAACGTACAAGCGTCAAATCCAAGGAGAAGCCAAAATTATGTGCACTAAGTACTAACAAGAACACAAGAAAAGATGAAAGAAACAATGGAACTTGATGTCATGCGTACTCAATCACATAAAACGCATCCCTGCAACTGTAAAGTAGGCTAATTTCTCATCAGCAGTGCTTTTTTTTTTTTTTTTTTTTTAAGAACAATCCTCTCACTTTACCCCTCAAAAAAACAACTTCATCTACAATGTCCACGAGGACGGCATGAGGCTACAAAAGTCAACTTACAAAGCAGGTACAAGACCACTATCAAACACAACATATCACCGATATCATCATCAATATAACTAATTAGATATACATTGGTTAATACAACTTATTAATCATATGGATTACCGAACCTGTACAAACCACGGATGCCTTCCTCATGAGCTATTCTCCTCAAAGCAGAAAGCGTACTCCTATATGGAACCACACCAGGTCTCATTTCCTGAGTCTGCATAAAAGAACAAGAAAAATGGGAATACTTAGAAAAACAACAATGGCAGCTAAATCAGTAATTAATTTAATCCTGAAGCTGCTAGTATTGGTAACTCTAGAAATAAACAATATGCTCCTCAGTAAACACAACTACAATGAAATGAGACACACCTGAAGTCTAGTCTTGACAACCCAAAGCGGATTTGTAGCAATAGTTGTTGCAGCTCCTGCACCGGAAGCCGCTAGCATGTTAGCCCCAATTGAAAGATGGTGATTCTCGTCTATGTATGCAACAATGCCAAACACACACACCCACACACACTCAAAAACAAGATATAGAAGGATGGTGAATTTACCTAAAAAGAGAAATATGGTTAAAATCTAAGCAATCCATCTAAAAAGTATATGGTCATGAACTAACGATCAGGGCAAAGGAAGTTCTTGAGCTGGTCATAAATTTTGAAATAAACATGCAAAAGGTTACAATAATTCATAATTCACAAATTTATTTATTTTCAAGTTCGTAGGTAATAAGGCAGGGGAAGTTCATTAGAAACAAAGACAATACTTGTGGTGAGAAAAATATATCATACGTAACAAAACCTCAATTAACAGAAAGTTGAGTTATGGATTTAACCAAATCATTTTAATTAGTCCAAGTTGATTTCCCTAAGACTATTAGTTTTTTCTGTTAATAAATTTCCATATACTTTACTAGTTTAGATAACTGAATTTCAGGTACTCAAGGATAAAGTATGATTTCACATTTACTTTCCAAATATTTTAAATTTTAAGCATTCTTTTCAATCCATAACAAGTATTAAACTCTATCTTCTTAAATTTTTCAACATTAGGTGCAAGCATTTTAAACTAAGAAGCACATCCAATTCCTTTAGAAGTTTAGATCCATATATCCAACATTCCAATATTTTTCTCAGACATTTGTACAGGATTAGGAAGGTACACCTTTTGGTGGTGTTGATACTTGGTTGTAAGTGACTGCACGCAATTTATAAAATGAGACATGAAAACAGAAAAATCCAAACCTCCTTTCTACTTATGAATTATTGCATTGCTATTACAAGCTATACTCTTCAATTCCTCTCTTCTAGCCCTGCAATTAGAAACCCTAGCACCTTTTGTTTTATCAAACCAGGAGAAGAGGGATAAAATTAAATTACAGAATTATAACTTGACTTTATTTGTTTTTGGAATAGCCATCAGACCCCATCCTCTGAAAAAACACATCGCGACACGACCCTTCCTGTATCAGAACCGTATAACGACCTTGCCTCTGCGTATTGGTGTCGTATCCAAAAGTCAAAAGGCTAAAATTCAATGGATACTCTAAATGCTTACATATCCGGCCATATCGTGTGTGTATCCCTATTGGATGCCAAAATCTGGCGTGTACACGAAACATAGGTAGGAGGGAAAAGCCTATTGTAGTAAGTCGCCAAGTAATGCCCAAGTTTATGTAAGCTTATCAATACCAACAAGAAATTTGTTTCCTACACGTCAATTTTTAATGATCCTCCACAATTTGCTAACCAGCAATAGCAAGAAGCAAGAAGTAGGAAGTATCAAGACTTACTGCCCAGTTAGGAAGTAACGCTAGCACAGTGGGAGAGAGCCCATGGTACATGCCACGCAACCCTTCCTTGTGAAATATTTGTTCCAAACCACCAACTATGAGACTACCTAATGACATGAAAACGTAAATTACTCACCATATAAACATCAAAAACTTCCATGACCATGAGACTCATAAAAAAAAAAAAGTAAACTGTTAGAATGTTTGAAATAAAAGATAAATGTAAAGGAGAAGCCAAAAAAGCCATCGGGTACTTGAGTAACGCTAAGGTGAGCTACAAGACAAAATAAAGTGAAACACATCGGTGTCTTGGAGTGGAAAGTCAAAATGCATACCTTTAACATTCGCAGCATTGCCGAGTGTTGGAAGCCCGTGAACTTGAAGCCTGGTTTTGATAACATCTAAGGGACACACAAAGGTTGCAGCAATAATCCCTGCCCAAGCCCAATTCAAACATCAATAGCTAAGAATAGAAGAATTCGAAGACTCACATCCAAACCACAACCAACAGGCATTAAATTAATGAAACATATATGGATACGTGTGTGTAGGGAATCAATACATCATTCACTGTGATCCTAAAACTGACTGCTAGTGCTCTAATTGAGTAAAAATGGACTTCCAATTCGCAATCAGAACCCTAAATAGAATCAAATTAAAATTACCTAGGCTGCCAGGCATTTAAGATCCAATTGCAGCCAAACCAAACCAAACGATAAATAAATAATGACATACCGGCGGCGGCACCAGCTCCTGCATTACAAACAAGACATTTAGGACTACGGGCGTGAGTATCGGCCGGCAGCCATGGCTGAATTCCGTAAAATAACCGGAATTCTCAGCGGAAGTCAGGATTGAAGAGGAGTCCTCCCTGGAGAGGAAGATCAGCACAGAGAACAATAGTGGCATGGTCAGAGGTGAATCGAGCTCTGTGAGCGGGCGAGCCAGCCAGCCAGCCAGCCAACCAGCGACGAGTTATGAGAGGCTTCGGCTTGGCTTCGTTTTCTCCATCACCATTCACCAAAGCCTATCAGGAGGACTCGGCCGGACGAGTGGCCACAAATGAGAGTCCCAGTTGTCTAATATCCTAAAGGTTAAATCTCTATTTACTATTCCATGGTTTTCAATATTTACTACATCCGTTATACTTAAAGTGTAAATTTTGGTACAGTCTCGTACATCGTTAGTCAAACTATTAACCATGCCATTAACTGATGATGTGGCGCTATGTGAACAATAATTGGATGTCAAGTGTCATTAAAGGGTCGATATGGAATTTAAAAATTTTAAAAGAAAAATTCACCCAAATTTAAAATATTAAAATAATTAATTAAAAATAAATAAAAATAAAAACACCCAACCCCTTCGTCTTCCCCGCACCCTCCATGGCTCCACCCCGTTCGTCTTCCCCTTGTCACTTACTCGATTAGCCTTCCATCCGTCACTGTGAAGCTTCCTTAGCAGCTTACAGCGTTCGGCGACGGAGACCAATCCTACATTGGTCCACTCGGGGCTTTTGACCAGGTGCAGAATCTCCAGATCCAAGCAGTTGGAGCTGGCTGCCAGTCCCACATTGCTAACCTGAAGCTTTTCCAAGTGGATCTCAACCATGGAGGTCACTTGCTCGTTGATTTCGACAACCCAGTCATCGGAGACCTTCTCGAGCAGGCGGAGGAAGGAGATCTCGTGGGGGCGGAGGTGGTTCTGAGGAAGAAAACGAGGAAAGCTAATGCGACGAAATGGGTGGAGATGGAAGATGCAGCCATGGATGAAGTGGGTTGGACCTGAATCTGGGTGGGGATTGAGCAATGGGGTTTCTAGGGCTTGGGGAAGATGCCCATTTGCAATTAAGGGTGAATTTCTTTGGTTTTTTTAGGGTTTGGAAGTAGAAGAAAGCAGAGGATGAGGATAAAGAATATGGAGGGTCCGTAGCAACGATGAGTACTGAGAGATGGACAACGCCGAGGGGTTGCTGATGAATCTCAAGTCGTTGCTTGAAGATGGGTTCTGGAGGTTCGTATGGCGAAAAAGAAGGAATTAGAGGCTCTGAGGTTGCAGATGTTTTTGGCTTTGGGTGATTGTGTCGATCCGGCAAAGTTCGTACTGGAGGCGATATCGAAGGTGTTTTTGGTGGACAATAGAGTGGAGAGGAGCGATGGGGGGTGTGCATAGGAGAGGGGTTGCAAAGGAAATAATGGGAGGGAGGGGGTTGTGGGGAGGTAGAATACGGTGCATGTGTTTTTTTTTTTTTTAATTTTTAAATTCCACGTGGACCCTTTAATGACACGTGGCGTCCAGTCATTGTCCACATAGACGCCACGTCATCAGTTAATGGCAGAGTTAACAGTTTGACTAACGAATGTATGAAACTGTCCCAAAATTTACACTTTAGATATGACTCTGGGTCGAAAAAAACTTGATGTACTAAATGTTGAAAACCACGAAACATGAGGATAGTAAACAGAGATTTACCCTATCTTATATACTACTACTGAGAGCATTTCGACGTTGTCGTAAAATATTTTGGGAATATATCGACAAAAATAAAAAAATTAAAAACTTTGACACCACTATTTCTCTTCATTTGTAAGTAATGGCTCCATTATTGCATTTTGTAATGCATATATCATGATCAATTATTTCTATAAGATTTCAACTATTTGCAACAACTGGATTAGATTTTTTTATCTCAATCTCATTCATTAGATTGTTATTTGTCTTTTTATCCTCTTGCTATCAAAATGGGGTTTCTATCTCTTTCACATTCATTCTATTTTCTGCCCACATCCTTCAAACCCTAAACTACCATTCCCAATTTTAGCCCCGCGCTAGGGTCTCGATGTCACCAAGTATACATTCTAAATTATCACATAAAATTATAAAAACCTAAAATTTAGGATTCTACAAAGGACAAATGAACACCCCGTGACAGAACCACAATAGCTAGATTCGGCATGATGCTCATATTGCATAAGAGAGTTTGCAAATTCGGCTTCTTCGTTGTGTCTCATGTGTTTTGTATGTATTTTGGTATATGTTTTGTGTGTCTCATGTGTTTGGTGTGTTATACATCTCTATCATGTGTTTTGTATGTGCTTCATATGTGTTTTGTGTGTTTCATGTGCTTTGTGTTTATACATCTCTATCAAGTGTTTCATATTATTCCATAGTGTTTCATGAGTTTCATGTGTCAATTTAGTGATTTTTCAATATTTATCAGAACTTAAATATTTTTAGGTTAAAATGTTCATAAAATTAATTTAGGATAGTCTACACAATTTTTTTTGAAAGTTAATCTAAAAAAAAAATTAACCTAAATTCATTCTTCAATGATCTGAGGCTAAAATTTTAGGCTAGAAGGTTGGAGTATAAAACTGTTTCTAGGTTAAAACCTAAATTTTCTGAGCTAAAAATTTTAAGTTTTACTCCAATAGTTGGAGATAGTTTTAGGAAGACAAAGATTCCTTTTAAGTCTCTAAGGCCCTGTTTGGCAGATCGGATAAAGGATCGGATATGATTAGTTATACGGACTCGGGTGTTTGGCATTCACCCGTACTAAATAAGCGCTGGATTAATTTAATCGGTCGGATAGGATAACACGGTATACACCCGCTTAATAAAACCAACCAAAACGCCTGGATTATTTAGTCGGTTTCACTCTCCTCTCTCGCGAACTCGGCCCTCTCTCTCTCGCTTCTCTTGGCATCGTTGTCCTCCCCGTCACCTTCTCTCATCATCGTCGTCCTCCCCGTCGCCTTCTGTCGGCATCGTCGTCCTTCCCGTCGCCTTCTCTCGCCATCGTTCTCCTCCCTGTCGCCTTCTGTTGCGCCGCTTTCTCTCGCCATCTCTGCTCTCCTAGTGCTTGTCGCCTTCCTCGTCGTCCTCTCCTTGTGGCCTTCCTCATCACCTACTCGGCGTCCTCCCCTGCAACTGGGTCTTGCAAAGAAACATGGTGCGGCAAAGAGATGATTTCAATTTGGGATTTTTCTGCAACTGGCTATTTGAATTTATTTGGGATTTTTCTGCAGTCGAGGAAGAAGAATATGGGAGAGAAAGGGAGGGAGTTTGGGGGGTGTGGCGGAGAGAGCTGGGGAACAATTATTTGGGCTTCTTCTGCAGTCGGGGAAGAATAAGGGAGAGAGAGGGAGGGTGTTTGGGGGGTGCGGAGAGATCTGGGAACAAAAAAATGATTTCACTTTTTTTAAATTTTTTTTTTTTTTAAGTTTGATTCCTCCTACCTAGTATAATACCAAACACAATATAAATAATACGGTCACTAGTCCGATACTGCACCAAACACCCGACTAATTTAGTCAGTACTATCCGGTGGTTATTTATCCTATCCGACAGAAATAGTCAGTACAGTCCGAGCTGCCAAACGAGACCTAAGGCTCACTTTACACTGGAGACCCAACTTTTCCTATATATGGGTTTATATGGTGGTTTGTTCTCAAGAAGAAAAAGGCGGCGAAAAAACACAAAACCGTTCGTGGACGAGGTTCACAGGTTCAAAAAGTCCCAGCATGACTCGTTCTTGCCCGTCATCGAAGCGGCAGTATAGTCTTCATGGGGTCACCACCGAGAACCCTTCCTTCCATTTGATCAGGCCGCTCTTGTCTCTGTCTCGCGGCCGAGTTCTTGTTCTCCGCCCTCAGAGACCCCACTCCTTCTCAAGTGGGCCGCCAGCGCCTCCGATAATAAGGGATTGACTCCCAAAGTGTGGATGCCTGGAAGTTTCTGCAACAACAACAGCTGCCCGAGTGGCCTCTATCTCTAGTTCCTCGACCTCTAACTCTACCTCTCCTCTACGAATGATGATGATGATCATAATAATTTAGTGGCTACTGATGTTGTTACCTTAGAGGATGCCAAAGAGGCTTTGCAATGCAGGCATGTTGCCTCTGACAAAGCGAGGGAAGAGCACTATAATCTCATCAGTGCCCTTCACTAGTCCATGAGACTAAGTTATGCTAATGCGGCCATTTATTGGTTGGCAAAGATGCTAGGAGGCCAAGAGCCTCTCTATATTGCCCGCCAGACTCATAAGGTTCGCCATCGAAGATGTTGGGTTGGCCGAACCATCAGCACTGAACCAGGCCGTTGCTTGTCATCAGGCTCGCCATTTTCTGGGAATTCCAGAGTGCAATGTCATTCTTGTAGTGTGTGGCTTACTTGGCATTGGCTCCTAAACCTTTCGCTGTTTATAAAGCAATAGGGAGTACACAAGTGGTGAGGGACTCTGTCGGCCAGAATGAGGGAGTGCCTCTTCATCTGAGGAATGCGCCTACCAAGCTAATGAAGGAACTTGGGTATGCACGACAATCCCTCTGCCAGTGTCACGCAGGCATATCTACCACCCTCACTTGAAGGCTACAATTTCCTCGATTGGCCAATCAGTAGTAATAGCACCTAAACCTAATCCGTTGGATGAGAGGCCTTTGGTTCAGGCGTCCAGGAGTTTCAAAGATGGTAATATGATCTAGACTAGGCTGCTGGTTAGTGGTTAGCACTCATCACTGATCTGTTTTTACGGACGATGACATCCTTATGTGTAACCTGGCATTGCATGTGATATTTGTTCATGCATATATATCTTTACAGCCACTACCACCTGACAAGTGACAATAGTTTTGAAGTTGCTTGTTACCATGAGAAACAATACAATTGGGACTTTTAAGTTATGCATTGAATTCGATAGGCTTTGGGTCACTTCTCCAACTGGATTCAAGTTCTAGAAGCCTGCAAGTTTCATTTCTTGTTTCCTCTTGAATTTAGAAAACCCACGGTTTTCCCTATGGAAACAGTACGCGCTAGCTGGAAATTTCGGAAAATAAGTAGGGAATATTACATAGAGAACAAGATGATGCTAATGATGAAATATTTGATCTTTAAAGATATCGACAGGGAAGTATTCACTATACTACCATCTCAAATGTATAACAACCAAGCGAACAAGTTGATGATGATGATGATGATATATTTCATCTTTAAAGCATGGAAGTATTCATTATACAGTCTATACTACAATCTCGAATGTATTACAAGCAGCACAGAAAACGTACAGTGCAGTTATATTAAATCTAGTCTCAATGCGAAACTTGGGTTTCAATTTGCAGCCACGATCCAGATGCTCTGTGTGAACTTCTGCTAGCCTGCCCCGCAATATTTCCAAATTAACCTGGAATTTTTAACTCGTAATATAAATGAAATCTATTTTCAGTCACAATAGGAATATTACTAAATAACCATATGACGGTCAAGATGATTAATCAAATTGACAAACTACATATACTAATGTCATTTGGAATTTCATTTTCAAGGATCCCTTTTTCACAATATATCTAACAAGAAAAAAAAAAAAAAAAAAAAAAAAAAAGATAAAAATTACAGAAGTAGCGCATTCATGCATAACTTAATAAATGATGTCTTTTAGAATCTTTTGATAGCTAGTATCTTATATTAATGGAGAGCTCGGTGACCAGCACTGAGACAAGTTTAAAACTCCTTTTGCATTTTTTACTCGGTGAGAAAAAGAACAACAAAATGCATTTCAATCGCACTGTCACCCATATCCACTATCTATCCAACACGATTTATTTCTTGCCCCTTCCAAGACCACAAAATAGACTATTTGGGAATTTGGGAGTTGAGATTTTTATTTCTTTACGTCGAAAAATTATGGAGAACTTGGTCAAATTTTGGATTATGATATCTGCATTATAACGCATAAGCATAGATAGAAACATAAGGAGTTAACAATACCTCATTGCCTTTGTTGAGCTGAACTTTGCATAGAGTGCAGTATATTCGATTGTAAATCTCTTGTAGTACTCCATGCTTACAGACAGGGCACCAAACTTCCTCCTTGTGCATCTAGCATTACGGCCAAAACAATATAATCAGTACCAAAGAAGAACTGATAGTGAGGAATGATTTAGCCTTTTCTCACATGGATATAAAATATATGGCATTCTATTATTAATTTTACTACACTTTGATAGATAGGGAAGTAATTTGACTGGAAAAATAATTAGAAGTTGAAACCACAGCTGTAATAAGATGGTGGAAAAGTAAGTTATAATACTAACAAATACAGAGGAATGATTTAGCCATAGTATCAGACTTGCTGCAGCTGTAACAGAATGTTAGCTAGTATCTATGTTTTAAAAGGCTTGCCCTTCTGAGGCTGGGCGTGAGGGTTGCCGCCTCTGTTTTGAGGGAGTGGGTGGAAGGCGTCACCGGAGCCTCCTAGGCGGCGGAAGGCGTTGCTGGAGCCGCCTAGGCACGCCTCAGGGCTTTTTCTTTTTTTTTTTTTTTTTTTTTTTAACTCCCAAACCCAAATTTTGGGTAGGGTTTTAACTACCTCATACCTCTTCCTTGCACTATCGTCTCTCTGCCTTTTTTTTTTTCTTCTGATTTTCACTTTTTTATATAATGGATGTGTGTGCTGTATGCGTGCATTGTTATATGTGTGCTCATTGTGTTTTTCATCCTCTATTATATATATATATATATATATAATATAATTTATGTATACATATATATGTGTGTGTACATATATTTATAATATATGTGTGTGCGCTCAAGATGATTATTGATTAATAATCTTTTTTTTTTAATATAATATATGTGTACGCTCAATGTATATATTAAAAAATTTAGGTCCCGTGAGGCTTCACCTCACACCTAGGCCGGGCTATCCCTCGAACGCCTCGCCCACGGCTCACGCTTTTAATACATTAGCTAGCATGCAGGTTTTGTTCACACAGCAAGAAAATAAGCAACAGGAACAGAGAAAACAACAAAGATCTCATCTCAATTAATCATGTCATAAGGCTTTAATTGGGTCCTACTCGATGGTCAGATCATTCATTTCAACCTTCATTTCCTGACATAGTTGGTCAACCAAGCCTTCATTTATGGCACAACTCTATGTCAGTCAACCAAGCATTCATTTATGGCACAACTTCTCTCTTTCCTTTTCTTTTTTCTTTTCCTGAAAAAAAAATCTGAGAATGTTCCTTAATAAAAAATCATCTTAGGATCCATAAGCGCAAGACAGCCTGATTAAGAGCCCCAGGTTCTCTAACTCCTGATTTGAACGACCCACATCCACTGGTCATATATATTCTCGCTTGGGGCTTAACCTAGCCTTCATGAGCTGAAAGGCCTCATTATAAGAGATACTAAGCCCACATATATAGAACTTCCCCTCAACTTAAGTAGGCCATGTGAGACTCAACACATGGACTTTGTACTCTTCTCACGGTATCTCCTCAACCATCTTGGTTATATCTGCCTCATGTAATCTTCCGTTTTTCAGTCAAGAGATCTTGGCTTCACAATTTACCCTTTGGATCACACCTCTTTGTGCAGGGCAAGCAGGGATGGAGCCATAAATTTCCTTAAGTGGGGGCAACTTATGTTAGAATGACCATATTCTTCAATCAAATGTCACATGATCTAGAAGCTGAAGCTCAGATCAAGTTTTAACTCTGGTGTAGTCAAGAAATCTAGTATAGCTTGTTGTTAAGACACATCACACGACTAGATGTGCTCTCAAGAAATATGATACTTCTAATATCACTCCAATAAAAGTTAGAAAATAATATTGTCTTATATAAGTAGCCCTTTATAGGCAGGGTCAATGTTCATTACAACAGATAATTGGGTTTAAAATGAAACAATGACAACATTAAACGTATTTTGGAGTTAATCATCAGCTAAAGTGATACTCTCTCAGATGCCAACTATAAAGTTTCTTGAGTACAGGTTTTCATTAAAATATCAAATGTCATTATAAAGATTTAATCGATAATATCACTAATCATAAATTCAATGGTTAACAATTATTATGCATATAATCAAATGTGCAAACTGGATACAAATTCGTATAAATTGTTGCATGGAATACTCATAACTTATGCTGTTATACCTGCTTGTCGTTCAGTTGCATATGCTCATAAACTGCCTGGGACAAATACTCATCCTCTTCATCTTCCCATGTTTCAACACAGATTTCTGTTTCTGCAAAGGGCTAGAGAAAATTATAACCTTTGATAGTCAAAAGACTTTCTGCTACAACAATTGAAGTTATTACAAACTTAATTTCATCGAGAAAAAAGCACCGACTTTTTCACCTTCTTTTCTAGTTGGATGAATAGTCAGGTCTTCATAAAAGATCCTTTGCATTTCTAACAATATCTCTTCACAATCACCTTGGTATACATTTGTAAGGCCATCGTATTCCCATAACATATCATTGGCCTCCGGGACAGATGTTGAACTTCTTACATTTTCATCCAATGACGATTCCTTAATTTTTTCCAATTCAGCAGAAACTATGTCCTGGAATGCAGATTTGATCAAATCCTGCAAACACAAGTTACAACCATCCAATTGGAAAGTGCAAACCAAATTTTCATAGAGAAAATAATAGGAAAGAAAGAAAGAAAAAATTAGGGACAGAGTGAAGACCGTGGAGTACATTTGGAATGTGATTGAGAATTTGTGGAGTGGGCAGCATTCTCATCTTCCAAAGCAACCGCATTCTGTCTTCTCGAACCCTTTTGTAACAGTTCTCTCTCAGCTACAAAACAAATTACAGATACCAATACACTTTGCTAAGCTTACATACAACACACACTAACAAATATTTTCAAATTATGCATAACAATTTGTACAATCAAAATCAATTGGATCATAAAATTGAATCCAAGCAAGGATTAAAATTACGAAATAATAAATGAATCATAAACTTGAATTGTTCGTGGTTTGTGTGATAGAGACCTTATGTTTCCAGCTGTTACGGTTATTGAAACGAGGATGGGGTTTGAGAGGATGCCGCCCTTCTGCTGCGGCTGCGGCTGCGGCTGCTCCCTCCATTTCCTTTTGTCTCACCGCTTTATCTCCTCTCCACGTTTCCTTCTGAGCGCTCTCTCGCGCTCCCTCCATTTCCTTTTGTCTCACCGCTTTATCTCCTCTCCACGTTTCCTTCTGAGCGCTCTCTCGCACTCTCACTCTCTCTCTCTCTCTCTCTCTCTCGCTCTCTCGCTTATGTTCTCTTCCCCTTTCCACTCCTCTTTCCGTACATTTTTTTAATCTTCTTTATCTCTTAATAAAAAAAATCAATACAATATAATTTAAGTGAAGATAGATTATGAGAGAAAAGAATTATCCTCCTTCTTTTTTTTCTTTTTTTTGGGTTAAATTCTCCTCCTTCTTTTTGGGTATATAACTAGAAGAAGGAATTTTGATAAAACCAAACTAGAATGAAGGAATTATTATAAGTATAAAGATTTAAAATATCTGACAATTTAATAAAGCAAAACAAGAAAATGAGTTTTTAATGATTCATGTATTTTAAGTTAGTTTTTCTTGAGGGTAAACTGCTGATTTAGTCCTTGAACTATCATCATAATGAAACTTAGGTTTTTGAATTATTTTTCTGTAAAATAAGTCCCTAAATTCATTAAAAATTTCTAATTTCATTCATACTATTATATAGGGGTGGTTCGGTATGGGATCCCATACCGAAACCCTTGTCTCCATTCCCAAACCGAAATTTTCAGGAATCCCAATTTTAATACCGATCTCAAACCCAATTTTCGGGAATCCCGAAATAGTTTCGGTATTTCGGGACAAATCGGGAATCCTGAAATGGTTTTGGGCTTTTGGACAAAAATTTGACATATTATGCTTTTGGACTAAAATTCACCATTTTATGTTGAAAAATTGACATATAGGCAGGCCCAATCTGCTAATTTGTTTCTACTAATCTGTGCACAAATCTGCTAATTCAAAAGCATCTGTGCACACTGCACAATCTGCCTATTCAAAAGTAATCTGCCAATCTGCCTAATTTGTGCACAAATCTGCCTATTCAAAATCGATCTCCTTAAGCCTTAATTCAAGCAGGTAATGGAGTGGCAAGTATATATAAAGAATTATACTATATCTATATGTGGCTCGTCTAGAAATAGCCTGCAAAAGTATAAAAGAAAACATGAACTGACCTAACATATCTACATGTGGCTCGTCTAGAAATAGCTTGCTTAAACTTTGATATGTTCCCGCTTAAAAATGCATTCAACCAATCGTCTCAACTAAATTCAAAAAGGGCGATAAACTATGCATTTTACCCTTCAAGTTCTTGATGGTAAGCTTAAATGAGAATATATACAACAGAAAGTAAAAGAAACGCTACAAAGCAGACGGAGACAGAATTTGTTCAACTATGCATTTTACCCTTCAAGTTTGAAGAATCTTGTCAAGCATGCTCTGTCACATCCCAGTCTCCTCCTCCAAGGATATTGTCCGCTGTGACGGCCAGCACTCCCTGATCTCGGTCGGGGTGTGTCATGCTCACCACACAAACAAGAAATTGTGATGGGCTAAGTTGACACAGCAAATCGACAGTACATGTACATTACATCTCGGATTTAATCCATATAGGATGTTTATACAGTCATTCATAACGGTAAATATGGAGAAGATGGACAAGGCTAGAAAGGAGATGAATCCTACTCGGTTGAGGCAAACATAATTACCTTGTCCTTGATGTCCTTGTGGCATTGGTTTGTTTGTACACCTTCTCTCAGTTAACAATAACATACCAACAAAACAACATTTGAAATATCATCAGTAATGTTGTCTGCCTAATACCCCAAGTAATTCTCATAAAAAGACAAAAATTTTGATCTTGCTTAAACTTTGATCACCATTGGTAAATATGGGTCGCTAATGTGACATCCATTTTATTAATAATGGCTTCCTACTAGAAAAGAATAACATGCACGACTCCACATATGCTGTTAAACCAGAATCTGAGATAGTATTAAACCAATCTGCAAAAACCCAAGAACCCAAGAACCTGAACCATTAGATCAATTAAATAGATTCTAATATGTGAAACCAAACAAACCCTAAATTTGCAAACCCTAATCTAGAATTCGAAAATTAAATTTCAAAAACCCTCAAATTACAAACCCTAATCTAGAATTCATAAATTAAATTTCACAAACCCTAAATTAATTCCCATATTTATTTACCTGTGTCTGAATCTGAAAGATAAAATCGCATAAGAGAATCAGAGACTCCTGAAAAAGAGGATCGCGAGAGAGAGAATCGTGAAAGAGAGACCTTAGACCGGTGGTGGCTGTGACTATGTATCGTGAAGGAAGGAGAGACATCGGTGGATGATCCATATGTGGTGGTGGGCTGGTGAATGGCTGGCCGGAGTTGGATTTGAGTGAGACCGAGCTGAGAGAAAGACTGAAAAACGAAATGAAAGTTAGAAACTGGAGTAGAGTCAGTTCAGTCCTCGACGGGGACAAACAAAGCTGAAACCTGAAAGCCTTACAAGGAATAGATGGACGGAATAGATTAATTTGAAACAATCCAATGGTTCAAATTAATGCTAATTATAATTAAAAAAAATAATATATATATATATAATAATTAAAAATATATATTTTCGGTTCGGTATGGGAATACCAAAATATTGGAAAGGCAATCCCAATTCCCATACCGAAATTTCAGTATTTTTTCGGTATGGGAATACTGAAATTTTGGGAAAATCGGTTTGGGATTGGTATTTTTTTTGTTTGGTTTGGGAATTTTGGGAATTTTTTCCACCTATTATATTCAAAGCTATTTTATCTATTTTTCGTCAATTTAAGTCATTTGACACACTTTAGAGTGTAATACAATTCTTTACTTGCCTATAAGCCCTTAACATTTCATATAGGGTGTGTATCTGATGTCTAATTTAACCTCTAAAGTTAACTCCATAAACTATTTCTTTATGTAAAATTATCAATCTACCCTCCAATGTATATCACAAACAAGTAACGTAACTTAAATTGATAGAAAATTAAATATAGTAGCTTAGAATATAATATTAGAGATGTAATTGGTAGATTTGTAAAATTCGAAGACTGATTTTTTCTGGAAAAAAAAAAAAAAAAAAAAAAAAAAAAGTTTAGGGACCTAACTTTCACTCAGGTGATAATGCAAGGACTAAATTGGCAATTCACCCCTTTCTTTATTAACTTGTCAAATATTTTTAAATTTACATCTAAATTAATATAATCTTGTGATTAATATATATTTTTTTGTATATTTGCATATGATTTTGTTTTTGTATTTATGGACTAGTTTTTTTATTCAAACTTGCAAATATTTTGTAGGAACTTTTAGTTTAAATCCTACTATGCACTTTAATATTACAATCTGGTAGTATTCCTCTTCATTTGTAAGTGAGATGTCCTAAGTTCGATTATCACCAAAAGTGAATTTGAACCACATTATTGTGAGCCTAATGT